CACGCCACACGCGGGTTCATTTTTACCATGATAATCTGGTAGGCATGCAATTGCAACTCGCTCCTGCTCATTGCTGCTCCAACCTCCCATTTCCCAAGTCAGGAACTCATTCCTTAACACGACAATGGCGTTCTCGGCGATGCATAAATGTTTTTTGTGCGACCTTAGCGGTCACCGTGCGTTCTTTGACCGTCCAACGGCGACCTGCCCAGTTTCATGGTCGCACAAAGGAGGCAGAGCAAACCGGCCAATGTTACGTGGTTTACGTGCCTATGGATTTTGTACACATGGTTAGATAATGTTCCACAGTGGTATATATATATATATATATATCCCGTGGTGGTGGAGTAGGAAAAATAAAAAGATCAGGTTCTACCGAGATTTGAACTCGGATCGCTGGATTCAGAGTCCAGAGTGCTAACCATTACACCATAGAACCACGTATAACCAATAATATATCATTATAATCACACGGAAAATGAAACGCTGCTTAATATCGTTTGATCTTAAATGCTACTACAATTAACATGTATTGCTGAATATAACACATTCACTCACTATCTCACACACGCACACAGGGGCGAATCCAGGATTTTTTGAAGGGGGTGGGGGTCCGCGGATGCGAAGTCGACCCCCCCTTGGCGTGGGGTCCAGGGCCCAATAAAGGGGTCGAAAATATTGGTATTTTAGAGGGCGAACTGTGCCACTTGGTACGGTTTACAAATATGATTCTGAAAAAAATTAATGTGATCTTTTTTTCAGAACCCCCCTAAATCCGCCATTGTGTTATGCTGGGAAAGTTACATCGTTGTTTTATAACCCTGCCCGGAACGTTCCTAGTTAGATGATTTCAAATGCTGTTATTTAAATTTTGATTTACACTTTGTTTACGCTCGACTTCACCTGTCACGTTACAGAGCACGATAAGAGCCAAAACGGTTCACAAATTGAGTGATTTTAGTTGGTAGTAGTCTTTGCCATTTCAACGCCCACAGTGGAGTTTCCCTGGGTACTGTATAAATGTATGTACAGTCTTGATAAGCAAGGCCAAAGGGGGGGGGGGCATAGAAATAAAGTACATGATTCTGTAAAGCAACAGCGGCAGTGTGGCTTTTGAAACAAATTCTTTTCTTGTTGTTAATTCCAACGAGCAGAAAGCATTTTTTAGATGAAAGAGCAGTTTGACATGCATGACGCCATGCCGGGTAAGGCATTGATTCAGTTCAGTTTTGATCTGTTGCGTAGTTGGTAAAGGATAGAGATCAATGGCCATCCCCGACAAAGTATCTTTTTAAAGACTTTAAAGCAAAGAGAAAAATATATAATTGACGACGCAGATTTTATGATAATGACGAGCAATAAGTTGTTGTCAAAATCGTTTACTAATTCTTAACTATATCGGATTTTTATGCAAAAGGCAATTTGCCGGGACCCACGGAGCCTGAATTCGTTTTCGCTTGCGGGTCCAGCTCGTTGCTGTGGTGATGCGACATGGGTCATCTGCGATTTGAATTCGTGACTTGCAGTTACCATTGTTTGCTCATGTACTTTTTTGGAACCAAGCACGCTACCGACTGCGCCGTTAATGATCCACCCACACTTCCTACGTACGAGTTTCCTCTTATAGTAATCAAACGCAATTTTTAGAAATTATTTCGATCAAAAAGAAACATTGGAAATCTTAGGATTCGAACCCACTTTGAAGTGTCTAGCTGTGTCCAAGACGGCGAAATTACCACAGAGCCACAGAAGCTTTGCTGAAAAGTTACGGATCAAATGGAAACTTTCTACTTTCTCACAGAGAGGGACAGTTGGGCTGTACATATACATGTATTAATCTGCCATAACAATCAATAGGCCATGAGCCGTATATATGTATTTCACCCAGCGCATCGTCAGTCTGCGAATATGATATTATCATTAATAATAAAAACCACATATCCCTGAATATTACACACACAGACAGTCACACTCACACACACACACAGACACACACACACACACACACACACACACACACACACATACACACACACACACAGCCATCGTCACCCCAACAATGAGCCAATCCCTACATGACGTGACACGACGTAAAACGTCATCTAACATATAAATGATATGACGTCATAAGTACGGGATTACCGGGATTACCGTTGTCATAACGTTGGATTATTCAATATTTACACACTGTACGGTGAATTGCACGAGAAGTTGTTATTAGTTAAGAAATAAGAAATGTTTTGTATGTGTAGATTACAAGCGCTAGATCTTCGGGTGAAAAAGTCCACTTATTTGGTGAGTTTATACGATTTCTTGAGCTCTCCCTCTCTCTCTCTCTCTCTCTCTCTCTCTCTCTGTGTGTGTGTCCTTGTATTATGGTGAATTGCATAAAATGTTACCTCATGAGTTTTAAAAAATTGCAAGTATTTATTTCAGTTTGTCGAACTATTGTGTTACAATTTTAAATTATTTGCTTGACAGATGTATCAAACTAATGTGCGGCTTTCATTTAGTGATTTAGATAAAATTAAGTTTGTAAATATAGTTTTTTTTAATTCGCAATTTTTCTTACCGCAATTTTATAACACACAAAAGATACCCATACCCAGTTATATATATTGGCCGCTTTTTCATCAGTATGGCAACGTTGAACGACAATTCTACTTCTCCAATTGTTTCAAAAGTAAGGATGAAAGGTTCTACCGAGATTTGAACTCGGATCGCTGGATTCAAAGTCCAGAGTGCTAACCATTACACCATAGAACCGCTTATGTGAATTACTGTATCATTATATTGACAGGGAGAAAAGACAGCTGTTTCATATCGTTTGATCTTGAATGCTACGCCAATGCATTAAAATGTATTGCTGAACAGAACACACACATACACACACACACACACACACACACACACACAGAATAAAGACATATGCTGCCTACAAAGAGATAGTTACAAATTAAGGTCGGGAAGGGGGAAATTTAGTTTATAATCTGAAAATAACCATAATTTAATGCATTTGACGACAGAATAAAGACATATGCTGCCTACAAAGAGATAGTTACAAATTAAGGTCGGGATGGGCGAAATTTAGGTTATAATCTGAAAATAACCATAATTTAATGCATTTGACGATTATCTTTGAGATAATACAAAATTATATGCGGCGCGTATTTTGCACCCACAATTCGCTTGTTTTCACACTGCCCCAGCACCTTCTCTCTAGCAAGTGTTTTATGTCTGTTTAATCAGAATGGTTTGTCCCAAAAGTGGCTAATAGTATGTCTGAGGAAAATGAAATTTTATGAAGACTCCGCATAAACTCTCTCTCTCTCTCTCTCTCTCTCTCTCTCTCTCTCTCTCTCTCTCATACACACACACGCGCTCATATATACCATGATATTCTGGTAAGGATGCGATTACAACTCGCTCCTGCTCATTAATTGCTGCTCAACCCTCTCATATCCGAAGTCAGGAACACAATCATTACTTTGTCATACCTGGCGCAATATATTGTCACTTAAGCTGTATCATTTGTCTGTCAGTGTCTCTCCTCACACATTGAGTCCCGACACATAAAATGGGGCCTTGTTCCCAATTCTAGAAAATGTTGTATTTTGAGCATGCAGTTTTATTCTATCATTAAGTCAAATCCAATTTAACTTTAACCGTGCAATTATACCAGTTTGGCATTGCAGTGAGTTAAATTTAGATAACAACTTCTGCAGTAACCATGGTAACCGGTTTGGGTTTGAGTGAATAATGGGATTCAAAACAATAAGCACCTTTTTTTTTTTTAGATGTTTATCGATACAAACCTATATCATGTGTTGTATGCTGTTATCTGTGTCGCTTGTTGTCGGGAGAGTGGGCGAAAAAATATTTTAAAAAGTATTTTGCCGCCGGTATACATAAGTTCCTTCCCAAAAAAAACTCACCGCGCTTAGCGATACAAAATCACCGAAACAAATGCCTCACATGCTTCAGATTACGGCCTGTTATGAATTATTTGCCCATAATAAATATGCCGATGGAGTATACTTTTGGGAGCATAAATTTAACGGTGACTGAACTAAGCACCGAACTTAATAAAGAATGGTTAATACTTTTCCCTTTTGAAGAATTATATTCGTAACATAATTCAAAATGATATTTATGTTTTAGGCACAAAACCGCGAAGAAAGATTGTTAATAATATTGCCTAGAGTTCGTGAAGAATTTGGAAGGTCAAACCGATTTTTATTTTTATTTTTATTATTTATTTTATTTTATTTTTATTTATTTATTTATTATTTATTATTTTTTTTATTTATTTATTTTTTTTGTCACGACTCTATCGTCCGCCACGTATACCATGTGTTTGTTGCAATCGTAAATATTTCAGGACAGTTTCACATTGCAAAATAAATACACCGCAAACAAGTATAACTCTTCATCATTTTAATTCATACAGGAAGTCACTTGGTATTCATACATATTGTGAGAAGGGAAAAGAGTATGAAGTGCAAAATATTCCCGCCTATATGTTTTCCTCATGACATCAGCGAAAGCGTAAGAAAACAATCAAAATAACTCCGAGAGTTATGTAATTTCAGATATAAGTCCAATCTGCGATTTGAGATTTATTCTAAGAATCTAACCATAACTATATCAACAATTTGAAACTTTAAAAATACAACAGTCGAAAGGTAAATCGAATAACAGAGAGAAAAAACAAAACGTCTGAATATATATATATATATATATATATATATATATATATATATATATATATATATATATATATATATATATATATATATCAGTCTGTCTTTGTCTGCATATGTCCGTGTGCGCATGCGTTATCTACTATGGTTGTTCTCAGAATCCGGGTCACTCAAACTTATTCAGAAAGCCTTGCTTGTGTTGGATAATGGCAGGGGCGGATTTAGGTCGTCTTCCGGAAGACGGTCAGATTTTCAAGTTTACATAGACGGGTATCTATTTTTTCTGTCGGAAGACGGTCAGAAATGGGGGATGGCGCACAGATAATTTGGAAGACTGTCAGAAAATATGTCTGGATCCGCCACTGAATGGGTGTTAGGTAATATGGAAATATCCGCAGTAGTCTACATGTACATGTTCTGAATTAGGTACTAAACTGGTAAATTTGAACATTCCCCACTAAGATTGTGAATTGATATGTGCACTTGAAATTTTGTCTCTGTGTTCTCTCTCTCTCTCTCTCAAGGCTTTCTTAAAATATGGGTTGACTTATTCATTCGTCATCATCCTCTTCCTCATCCTCATCGTCGTCATCGTTGTCATCGTTGTCAGCCTCAGTTCGTAACAACTGTTGAAGGAGCTGTAATGCCGAAAACATTTGCCAGGATAATAGCTTTTACATTGTGAATAATGCTACTGCTGCAGTTCTTACATGAAATAAAGAACATTTCTACCCGAACGTTCCATCTCCAAAATAATTTAAAAAGTTAACATTGCAATGATAGACTGTGGTGCATAAATATTTTAAACATTGATATTTTGATATATTTTTATAAAAGATAATATTTGATATGGCATGAAATGAAAAATCTGCAGACTGTAAAAGCCCTAGTAATTATAAAATTTCATTGCAAGATCTTTTAAAAAAATTGCACCCAACCAGGATAAAAACAATTAACTTTGATAGGCCAGTATGTACGCTGTATTTATTCTAACATTACAGGTTTTTAAATAGTCATTTCATTATTATAAAAATAATAATAAATCCACTAAAAAGCTTCAATTATAGCTCTGCTGATGATCTCACTGATTCAATCAACCAAAAATACGGTTTAGTATTGGTCCAATAATGCTCCGTGTGAATTTTCTTACCTCGTCGCTGGCCCCCTCACCCGTCTCCTGGCCGTCTTCCAGCTCATTGCTATCGCCATGGACGTGAATGTGGGTGGTACCATGGCCGCGACGGCGGCGGCGGCGGCTGCAGTGGCGGCGGCGGCGGCGGGCATGCCAGAAAATACCTAAAAGTGGAATTAACAATAATTTTTCTCTGTGGTAACATGCAGATGCTCTCTTTAGATATCACCATGTCCTTACTGCTGTTTGTCATAATTTTTAAGTTTCATTTTAATTATTTCAATTAAATCTTTTTTTCTTTCTTTTTTTTTTCTGACGGAACTAGGCACTTAAGATGTTTGGCAGTTTTGTGAAGGATCGAAACTCGGTAAAAACTGTGGAACAAAACCAAGATGAAATTATCTCTCCTTTTAGCTCTCATAATGTTATTCTTACCTTCCGATTCATCAAACATCTCCACTAGAAGCATGATGCCTAAGAGCACTGCGAACCACTTCAGCTTGTTCATAGTGAGTGTCAGCGTGGCCACGGGATAGCAGGGGTCTTTTCAACGGTAACGCGCCAACTGGAGGCGAAAACGCCCAACTCTCAATTTTGTAGCCCTGGAAATGTCAAAGTTCCCAAGGCATGCGCAATAATTCCATTTTTAGAAATGAATTCAGTGACGCTGAACGTGATTGTGCTGAAAGAAGGCATGACGTAGTTTTTTTCGGGACAACTTAAGCCTAAGTCTCAACCAAACGCACGTGTGCTCTACGGCCAAAAAAAAAAAAAAAAAAAAAAAAACAAGAAAAAGAAAAAGAATGGGGAAAACGTGGGAGTTCGTGCGTGGGTAGCACGTCCATCGTGCGACTTTTGGAGGAGGCAAACAGCACGTAGAAACTTTTCACCAATTACTTGATTCCTTCCCTGCGATCTAGCTACATGTACGTCCTAGCCGGACGCAAGGAACCTAAAAAACCGTGCGCCCAAAACGTAGTTGGGACCTAAAGGCTTTAGAGACAGCGTAAGCTAGATCCCTATCACTGAAGCTTTGAACGTCGAGTCATTATTAAGCAAAATGGGCAAATAATTACCAATGTAAGAAAGATTTAATAAGAAAATACTTTTACAAAAAGTATTCTACCATAAAATTTTTATTGTTATTTATTTTGAACAGGAACTGCTCAGACGTTTTTATGACAGGGGTGACAGAAAAAAAAAGACGAGTCTGAAATAAAAATCATACTTATTTAAATTCAATGGAACAAAAACTGACAGGGCAAGATTCGCTTTCAGGAACAGTTATTCGACCATGTGTTGCTTGACATTTGAAGAAGAAACAGAATACATCTTTTTGTTATACTGACATATTTTGTATTTACTTACTGCATGTCCACTGGAATTCACTGAAGTTCACTTGAAGTTCTTTTTCAGGATCCAGACGATCAAACTGTTCATTCTGTATGGCAACCACTAAGTAATTGGCCAAGCTAAGTAACATTGTTTGCAAATAATTGGTCATGCTAAACATATAATATTTAGGACGACGGGTGTTATTGAATATTTGACATCTTGGGGGGGGGGGGGGGTCTATATGCAACCCTACAAACGAAATTTGTGCAAAATTGTTTGTATATAATAACTTTTGATGTCTCATCGCCAGATGATGAGTCGTAGTGAATTATTATTTTTTTAGGATGATGAGTCGTAGTGAATATTTGATACATAAATTTATATCCCATCCCTTAGGTCATAGCATTGAATACAGGCAACAATTTGTTACAGTGTTAAAATGAATAGGATAATGGCAGTGGCGGATCTAGAGGGGAGTGGGGGGGGGAGCTGACCCCCCCTCCTCCTTCCATTCCTGGGTCCCTCTTGAAATTTGAATTTTGAATAGATGAATCAAGTCTAAACCTTACCAAATGACACCGTTTGCCCTCTTAAATACCAAGGGAGGGGGGGGGGAGGGCCGGCTTCGCATCTGCACCCCCCCCCCCCCCCCCGCACCA